GTTTGCAAATTATACAAACGAATATATATAATGTATAATATAATAATAGAGTTGACTGTGAAATAAATACAGACTATAAATTGCAAATAACGCAAAGTAATGTATAATAAAGTGTTTTGATTTTATCCAATTATTGCGAAAGTTAGATTATGTTATGATACATGTTTATAACGTATTTAATAATAAATTCACACATTATGGAATAACACAAGTTTTCTCATATTCCGTTTATTGCTCGTGTTTCGTGATAGATGAAAAAATCTCTTTTTGCTAAGATGAATATGGCGTAAGAAAAGTCGATTTCTGTTTCAGTAGCCTTTTTCAAGAACACAACTTGAATAAACTTTTTGTTATTTATCGATTCACATCTTCATTTACTCTTTCTTCTTGTCGCTTGATTAACCAATACGTCTCTTTACATACAATATTGATCTCGTCTTCTTCTATTGTCATGCTCTAGTACCTCGCAATAGTACTTTGCAATGTCAATGTCTCCGCAGGATATCCTCGTCGCTTTGTTAACTAAAGTACCAGCATGATGATATCACACTTTCTCTCTCCCTTGCTTTGGGAACGAGGGCCCATACGACCTCCGCGCCTCTGAACATGCCCGTCTCTCAACTCTTTGTCAACGTGATCGTTGTCGTAGTCATCGTGATCGTCGTTGTCAGAGGGTTGGAGTTCATTGTGCCACAAGTGCATTCCGAGTGTCGGCGACGCCAATTGCTCGTTACGAACCTGGGACCAGTTGTGAATCGCTCTGTGAAAGCGACAGTGACATTTCCCGGAGTGAAGGCTTGGCCATTGCAATAGTAAAAACATCATAGAAATACACGTCTGTGTGTGTTCGCGAAATGATACGGCATTTTCGTGAGATAAAGGATAGTCTGTAGTTTCACATTCGCGTCACGAATTTTACTTGAATTCACATTTTTGAATTTTACAAAAGATACATGACGTAAAAACAGAAGTATGCAAATATCTCTTGTAAATTTTAAAGTATAAGCGACATGGCGTTCTATCTACTTTAATATGTTATTTTGTGTGAGAAAAAAGTATAGAAAAAATAATTTAATTTTTATTTTAAATGTCATTAATGAGAATTGCGGAGAACATAATGAGCTAAAACTATAATATAAAAGTGATACAACGTTAAGGATTTACTCGGATTAAATAAAAAACTGCAGTACTCAAAGTAAGTAAGAAATAAAAACAATTATGTTTTATGTTTCTCATGTGAGTTATATTATAATACGCGTTATTTTATATAATATATTTTCTAATAACTTCAATCACATTAATTTTAATGAAGAAAAATTTTAAAGTACGTAAACACTATTATATTGCTATGGTCAAGAATAACAAAAAAAATTATTTCACTAGAGAAAAGAATAGTGTAAAAATAAATATGATTTTCACACACTGATATTGACCCGCATACTGACGATGCATGCCAAAATAATGACGCATATTTTTTTCCCTTTTACAAGCAAAATGTATTGATTCACCTCTTTTATTCTGTAAGCTATTATAAAAATATTTTTAAAAAAATCAGAGTATTGTCTAATTAATACATAATCTAGTACTAATTTTAATTATATAAACGTACTCATAAAAGAAATACATAATAAGATAACATTAATAAAATTTGCATCTATATTTTGCCTAAATTAGTCTTATTAGATATAAGATGCACTCTTGATGCATTTTTAATTTAGATATTTCGATAATTGCAAATTATATAATCACGGTCGAAGTTCTTATTATCATTAACAAGGCTCTTACAAACCTTATAATTGATGATATTTAGAATAGAATATTTAAAGTGACTTTCAAAAAAGAATTGACTATCTTCAAATTAATAAAGAAATCAATATGCTTGAATTTTATATCTTAATTAAATCGGTTATTAATATTTTCCGTAATAATTACAAAACAAATCTGTTATTCACCTTGTCTTGGCAATTCTAATACATATAATAAGACACAGGTACATATTATAAAATAATAAAATGAGATACATATTATAAAATATGAAGACAATTATAAATATTCTGAAAGATATAAATCATTTAATTTATATATCTAGAACGATTAATCTTTCAAAATTTATAAAACGGAGAAAGTATTTTTTTCAACATTTAATATAATTATGTATAAGCTATCACCAAAATGTTTGTTTTTAGGAGAAATAGAGAAATTTAATTTGAATTAATGATTAACTTTGAATAACATTACATAGATAATAAATTAATATATTCGGCTATTAACTATCTATCAGCTTTCACGCATATATTTCATGAACAATGTTAGAAAACGTGCATCTTGATCGAGATACTTTCTTTAAATTACTAAAACTGGTTGTCGTAACAGTTCTAAATAAGAAACGAAATTCTCACGACTAAAACAGCTGGTGAACGCGTTTGAATAAACGACGAGATATCGTCAACTTCTTGTCCACCTCGCGTCAAGTGAAAAAAGATATAACAGCAGAAAAAAGTTGTGCTATATGTCACGTGTGAAATTTCAAATGTCAGCTATAATATTAATCGAAATTAGTTGATTGAACTAACATATCGCAGTTATTCTAATCAATTAATTAGCAATATTTTTATTTCTTTCGCAATATTTTTACAAATAAATACGTCTCTAAAATTAGCAATTAGATAGTACAAAACAACATTATTATTATTTATATTTTTTATCAAAAATAATTGATTTAAATTGATACAATATTAGAAAAATATTCACAATATATATAATAATATAATATAATTATATAAAATAATTATATAATATATTCTATTTTTATTATATTCTATTATTATTATATTTTATTATATTTAATATATTCTATTTTCTGCGAATGTCGTATATTAGATCAATTACTTTTTGCAATAAAATATAAATAATAATCGTATAAATAATAATCGTACAAAACATTGGCATAAGTTATAATAATATCAAAGATAATAAGTAAATAACTATTGAGAAAATTATATCACGAAATTCACTATTCGAAATGTGCTCTCTCATGGAGAATATCGATTTTGCCTATTTAGTGGTTTATTCTGTCATGTATTCTGTTTTACATTATCCTTGTTACGGTTTGACATTCACACGTGACGCATATTCAATATTGAATGTCACACTTCTACCAAACCATGATCAACCAATTTCACAGTTAATGCTTCCTTTCATTGAGGATCTTTTTAAAGGGGATATTTGTCATTTCCGCCCATTATCCTGTACGAATGTCTAATAGTTATTACTATAATAAATCACTCTTTTCCTCAATAATTATTAAAATTATTATAATTTTTAAAATTTATATATATATATATATATATATATATATATATAAATTTTATATAGTTATATATTATAATACGTATAACACAAATATATATATATATATATATATATATATATATATTTATATTTATATTATTGCGTAGAAATTAATTTACATGACGTATTCTTATTCTTGTCTTACATTATTAATAGTAAGAAGATATTTTCTGTTCGATAACAGTTTTTTTTCTGCCTAGTGATATACGAGAAGATGAAAGTGTCATTTTTATTCAAACAAAATCAACAACTATTAGATTTCATTCGATGTAGATTATTGTGAAGAAATTGTGGGAAACACGAAGCTCAAATATTTTTTATATTAACAGTAGTAAGTATGTTATAAAAACACTTAAAAAATTGCTTAAAATATATTCATATAAAATATATAAAAAAATATTTAAAAAGTGCATTTTCTAGATCTTGTAATTGTATTGAAATGAATTTCTCGGAGATTTCGTGGATTTTCTTTTTGACCATGGTCTTTGAGACAGTATTCCTTTCCAGCTCGTTGACCGGGGATCACGTGTGTTCAAGAGTAGAAAAGTTAGTGTCTCAAAAATATGGCAAATAATATAATAATATAATAAACATAAGTATGATAATTTTTATTTTCGATGATATCATAGAATAAATCTATTTATATGTATTTATGTATATTTTCTAAGAGAGACCTTCACCTAAAAGCCTTGACAATGTAGCTGGCATGCGTAATACGCCACATATCATTATTATGTGCGTACCTTGCTGCCACTGCATACCGCTATAAGCTCGATAAGGGTATCGCGGAACTAGTCAATAACTAATTGATTGTACATTACAGTTACACAATTACGTCGTACGAGACTTACACCGAGCCGGTCGTAGTCAATACATTCACCTGGTGCCTAGCAATTCCCCCAAGATGCCCCAAGACGCGGATCGAGCTACGAAAACGATATCGTATCAAGGTGAGTCTTAATTTTATTATTAATCTTATTATATTTATTATTAATTTTATTGCTAATTTTAATTTTGTGATTTAAGAAATACCAATTGTATCATTTATTTTTCAAAATCATTTTTTTCTCTTCAATTTATTTATTTATATTTAAATAAAATATATTAAAAAATTTAGAAGATAATCAATTAAAAGTTTCTTTAATAAGTAAATTAGTAACAGAGAAGCTGTTATTTATATCAAGATAACGCCTAGTTTTATCGATAAAAATGCATGAATTCGCGTCTAATGCAAATATCTATGCAGACAAAGGCTTGCTATTTTTATCCTTCATGAGTGAGATCTACTATGATGATAGTGTAAGTTTTGCAAGCTCTCGCTACGCTAAAGGGTCGTGGAAAAGAGTTATTTTCCCAGGCTGTGCAAAGGAAAATATATCAAACTTACATAACAATAGAATTTGTTGGTATATAATAAGATCGGTGTTGCAAAAATTTGTAGCATACAATAGGCGAGAAAGTACTCCATTAAAAATTACGTTATTTTTATATTTAATTTAATCAATATAAAATTGACAACTAAAATTCCTATGCATCAGATATAACAACGTGACGTATAATAATGAAATAGCGTCGCCGCGAATCGACGAAATTAAAATTATCGAAAGAAAAGATACACTTGCTAAACAATAGATCTATAATTTATTCTAATGACAGCGATTGCGTCGCAATAGGAGTTACATAAACTCTCATTTCCACTTCTCGTTACGGAAAAGTGTCATTCCTAAGCAGCGCGAATGGAAAACGATCGGCCTGCGGACACGGCGAAATACTTCGCGTGGCTGATACCTATGCGGTAAATCGTGTAACACACGCCCCATATATACACAATGCAACGAAACAACCTACCTATTCTCTTCCGCTTTTGCATTCTTATCCTGCGTCTTTCTTTCGTGACACGTACAACCTTCCATCTTTCCATCTTTCTTGCTCTTGGTGTCCGAATTTATCGCAGGGAAAGTCTGTATTAATCGGCAATCTGATTAAATAAATAAAAAAAAAATGTACGCACATGTGCGTGTTGGAACGAGAAGAGGACGACGAGTTGCAGCTGTAAACTCTGTGAAACGCGGAATTAACGAATCGCGCCGAAAGAAGGAGGAACCTGTCTTGTCTTGGAATTACGAAACGATCCAGAAGAAGGCCATTAGATGAAAAAGATTTCGCACGACTTTGTGCGGCACCTCGAAAAAGGAAATGCCGGAAGTCGACAATTTTAAACGAAACGTTTAACTCGACACATCGCAGGTAGATATATCTTCGATTTTTACGCGATAATAAGACAATTTCTCGAAAAGTGCATACAAAGAAGAAAAGGATGTATATATTTCTCATGTGCAATTTTTTTCCAAAGAATACGTATATAATCACGTAAATAGGAAGATACAAACAAAACGGACTCCGAGAATTATATTTACACGATTGATTGTATCTTGCAGGGGATACACTACAAGTATGTATTCAATGATTACAGGCCTGCTTATAATTTAACGAAAGATCGATATCAAACCCCAATATCGCTTCAATTAAGGAATAAATTACTGAGGCGCAGACATAATAATAAAGTTGATGTGAAATCTCTTGTTAATTTACTCTGCTTGCGCACTCGATAATATATCGCATGAAAGTGAATGTAACGTTTAACGACGATGAGATGTGACGTGTATCGAGTTGTAACGAAAATGAACGTAATTGATGTGTAAAAAATATCATATATCATCGCAGACTGATCATGTTCCAAAATTAATAGCGGATAAGATTCTTATAAAAATATAATTTTAGTGAGTTTAACTGTTTGAAAAAATCATACACATTTGATATGTAATATCTGTTTCTCTTTAAAAAAAGAAATATATAATATTATAACTTTTTTTTGCTATCTACAGAATAAAAATATTCATATTTAAGAAACAAAAAAATATAAAAGCAAAAAATTTATTTTCAAGGAGAAGCTTGCAAAATACAGAATCATAAATCCATAATAAATTTTTATATAAATTAAATAAATAAATATACATAAATGTATTCAATTTATTGAATATTCAATTCATTCAATTTAATTGAATATTTATGTATATTTATTCATTTATTTTTATTTATGTTATATATTATCATTAATTAAATCACAAATTAAAAATTTTATGTGAAGTAATATAAGTGAGAGAGAGAGAGAGAGAGAGGAGAGAGAGAGAGAGAGAGAGAGAGAGAGAGAGAGAGAGAGAGAGAGAGAGAGAGAGAGAGAGAAGAGAGAGAATTCTGGAATTTATCTTTGAAAGAATATTTAAAACTTATTTAAACAGAGATTTTTATTGTAATGTAATTAATTATATAAATATTAATTAATTATATATATAAATTCGATTTACTTCAATATAATTCAAACAATCAAATTTAAAAATACTAGTTAAATCTAATTTATATGTAACTTAGAATTGCAATACGTAAAATTATACGAGAGAAACTCGCACTTTCTCATATGATTCTGGGAATCGAACAAATTTGCCCATTTGCCAATTAGATTAACAAGGCCCAGCCCTGCTTTAAAATGTGCGTGTTCAAGGATTCGCGGTTTGAAAAATGGACCGGAAGTGAAATGATCTCGCTCATAAGATGTTTCGTAATTGGCATGTGATACCACTGTGTATTATATCAAAGCCGAAAGAGAACGATCAAAACGGAAAACACCGTGCGAGACATTCTCGCGGAATGAGAACTCGCGCATACAAAATGTAAGTTAATGCAAAGTAGGGTTCACGTATATGTACGTGAGATATTTTCGCGCTGCTTATTACGTGGACAATGGACTTATTTCATGTAGTTTATGAGAAAAAAAATTATTTCGCCGTTATGTGTCGATAATATATTATTATGCACATGTTGTTATAATTAGCATGTTGTTTTGAAAAAAAAGTATCGAACCTTTTTTTTCTTGAATTATGATGCTTATTTCTATATAATAAATTTGTCATCAAAAAATTTTATTTGATATCTATATTTTAGTTCCATTTAATAAAATTAAAAAGAAATATAAATGTGATGTTATAAAAACCATTACAATTGGGCAATCAAAATTTTTTCTTAATTATTTTCGCTTTTATACAAGAAATGTTTAAAAATTTATTTGCATAATGGTCATATAATTAGCAAAACATGTTAATATCAATAACGATTTGTTTCATTTATTGAGTCTGAAAATAGTATCAATTGTTTATTGCCTATTTGAGAATTTTACAGAGAGCACTTATTTCGTTATTATCTTAATTATTTATATTATTTATTATTATTTATCATTTATATACATTTATTATTATATATGATAGAATTACATATACAAAGAATTATACGCAACAGCTTTCATTGGAGCTTTGCCAATCCGAAATTTGTCGTAACTGTAAATTGACTTATTGAATCGCATGTTCTTTTCTGATTTCGTCATTCAATAGAAGGTTTTGGTTTATTAGCATACCATCGAAACGGACGACCAGGTGTTATGCCGTCATCGTGTAACACATAGATTATGTATGAGGAGCAATGTAATTGATAACGCAATGCTTATGTAAACAAAAACGGGACTACACGATGGCGCGAATACGAACAGATGCATTGTGTGAAAACAATGTTTGTCGTCATTTCGCTAATTACCGGCTACAATAACCGGCTACATTCTTGGAAATTAATAAATGTGCGAGCTTTGTAAGATGAAATATCATTGTGAAGATTCTGGGGCAAAATCGTGAGCACGAAGAATCGCGAGAATTCTTTTTGTTTTATTTCCGCCATTGAAAAAAAAAATCAACAGTCGTTTCGTACGAATTACAGATAGAGATTATTAATCGGGAATTTAAAAAAAGGAGTCGTAAAAATAATGCGCTATTAACGATTATAAGAACTTAGAGATAAGTAGTGCAATTACGAAATATGAAGCAAAATCTCCCAAGTTTTTGTAAAAAAAATAACATACAAAGTTGTTTTTGAAGTTTTGTGAAAAAGAACATATCAAAGTTATCACAAATAAAATCGTGATAAAGAAACGCAAACAAGATAAAAAGAATCATTATTAACAGTAATCTGTAATATACATATATTGACATGCATGTCATAATTGACATTTATCATTGCAATGTCACCTAACAGTTGAATTAAAACAAGAATGTTCGATAAAAAAACATGAGCAGAGATAATGAACGAGAATTACTGTTGGACAAGTCGAGGTCATTTGGCGTTTTCTAACATTCTAGAAAACATCTGAATTGCACAACTTTTGAGTAATATCGCACAAGCATTAGACACATAGTTAAATTTCTCAAATCTTCTATATAAATATTTATATAAATCAGAATATATATTATCAAGGATTTTACTTCTTAATACAAATTATCTATAATGTTAAATATTTTCAAAATTTTGATTTCTTCTTTATAAGTTACATAATATTTAATATATAATTTAATTATATAAATATTTATATATAATTTATATAAATTATATAATTATATAATTTATATAAATTTATATATAATTCGTAATACAATTACAATGTATAATTGGTTCAATACATATTTACATTATATAAACCAAGGCATACTTTCATTTTTTTAAATTATATATATAAAATAATTAAAATAACGTATATCATAAGTAAAAGTGAGAAAAGATATTATTGAATAGTACAAACATTATCGAGATGATGCTTATATTGAGCTGGATTAAATAATGACATAATAATTAAATAATACAGTTTACTACATTATGCATACTTTCTATCGACTTTAATGACTTCACCAGATTTCCTAAATCGATGTAATTAATAATTTTAATTAATAACTATCTCTTTTTATCGAAAGAGAGTCATGTTATATAATCGAAAGATTTGATCTGCGAATTAATCATGTCAGTCATGTTATTAATGAGAACAACTTTTACCTTAGTTTTCAATGCATCTAATAACTTGCTCCAAAGATTTGTGATTTTAAATGATTTATGAAAATAGATAAAATATTCATTGATTAATCTAATAGATACAACTCAAATTTTATATAAAAATTTTATACAACAATTATTTATTGTTAGGTAAATATTAAATTTTAAAGTTTAAAAATAAAAAAACACATTTTGGTATTAGTTTTTTTTAATAAGAAATTATTTATAAGCATTATTTTACACATTTTCACACATTCCAAATTTTTGAAATTTCTAGACAATTAAAGTTTCTAGACAATGACATTTAAGAATTATATTAAAATCAGAAATCTACTAAAAATAAAATAATTAAAAAGAAAATAAATATAGCTAATAAAATTATAATTTTTATTTTTATTCAATATTTGATGAATTAATTTTTTAAGCTTACATCATTTTATAATAATTTATATGTGATAAATCGTGTATTATGTAAATTATATATTTCTTATTTCAATTTTACATATTTCTAGAAAAACCTCTAATTATTCGAAAAATCCGATAAATGAAAAGTATAACAATAATTATGCAACATCACGTATGTCAAGATAATAAAATCTCTTGATAATATATCGTAGTGAAAGCGAAAGAAAGCGTTCAAACTTTATGACACACATATATTAATCAATTTACATATAATTCAGTTTATATCAGAGATCTTGTTTATGTTTCTAAAAGTATGCTATGAAGTCATTATCTCCATGACGGCGTATCCAGTTGAGAAATTAGATCGTGTAAAATCTGCATAATAATACGTATTAAAGGTGCGTTGCTCGTTTTATGAACGAAACATCCGTAATTAAGTAAAAGAGAAGAATGTAACGCGTCGTTTGGCATTGGTTTGCTGCAATGTTTCAAGTGAATTTCACATAACGCGATCACTTCTCGATCGCAAAAGCGGTGAACGGCGGCGAAATATAATATTTGTATATATAGAAATGAAAAATGGACGGTCTTAATTTATGAACGCTTGTTTTCACGCGCGTATCCTTTTATGTCAGAGAGAATTTTTTTCGAGTCTTCGGTATTTAATTCTCAATGTGTATATGTGTGTGTGTGTGTGAGCACATATTACGTAATAGTATTCTTGGGAAATAATGACAAATTATTACACATAAGGATCTGTCAAAATAAAAGTTCGAGACTTGTGAAAAATAGTTGACAATAAAATATATTATTATATAAAAACTTAAAAGAGTGTCACATAAATGTAAATAAAGTGATTTATCATTCATAAGTAATTAAAACTGAACAAATCGAAATCAAGAGTGAGCATTATCTTTTTAATCTATATTCGAATACGTTTTATCGTTCTATTATTTATTTACTATCATACTTTTTTTGTATTTTTACATATGATTTGATCACAAATAAATTTGTTATGCAAAGAGGAACTTGTTACGTTCACGTATTCTTCATCTTGTTCCTTGTGATTCCTTTTCATTTCTCATCACGTGTGCTCTCTGCATTCTCACTTTTACTCTCATTAATGGTTGGAATCTTATACTTTAAGGAGTGAAATAATCATCTTATCCCCGAAATTCTTTCTTGAAATTGGAATTATCGGAGAAATCGTACGTGTTCTCGAAGCAAAAAAAGATAAAATGAGATATCATTTATATGTTTAAATATTATCTCATACTAATAATATAAATATTAAACTTTCAAATCAATGAACTATTAATATGCTACAAAAATATACCAAAAATTATTAATAATTGCCGAAATCATAAACGCATTTTAAAATACAATTGAATTTTAAAATATTCTTTTGACATTGTATTTACTTTAATTTACTTTATTTTTACTTTTATTTATTTTTATTTACTTTAATTATTATTTATTTTTTTTATTTACTTTAATTAATTAATTAATTTATTTTTATTTACTTTAAATATAATCATGAAATATATGCAAACATATATTATATGCGAAATATGCATTACAGACGAAATATGTATTATGCGAAATATGTATTACAGACAGAACAGAAATCGAAAATTGTAAAAGAATGTTGCGAAGGATACAAAATGCCGATAATTTACAATGGTACAGAGATGGATGCGAGGTGTTCACCGCTATGCGTCAAATGTCTGGCGGGTGTATGTATTGCACCAAATAAATGTCAATGTGATCCTGGATATCACGGAGATGATTGCGCCCATGGTGAGTTGATATTAAAATTAATTCATCAATGTCCTTATGAAATTTAATTTTGAATTTAGTGATATATTATTGATCATTTAAATTTATAATTTTTGTATTTATAATTAAAGTATATTTTAAGGTTTTCATGTAATTTATAATATAAATATCACATATAACATGTGCTTATTATCAAAATTTTTGCTTTCTGTGATGATGCAAAAAAATTACATTAAAAAAATAAAAGAATGAAATTCTTTCTTTCTATTATATTTACAAGTCTTATTGTATCTCTCCTTTACATGTTTCTTATTTAGCAATGTTAAATTTATTAATTTAATTTCTACTGTTCGACATATATGATTACTTAAGACATTAGATTCATGATAATGAAACGTAACATCATTCGCAACATGAATATGAAAGTGGGCTATTTAGATATCTAAAAAAAAACGAAGATGTTTTAGAAGGTCCTTGAAGCAAGCTTCTTAGTCGATACTTGCAACATCTATTTATTGAAACAGAATAATATTTGCAGTGCTAATTAAATGCTAATGAATCACTGACCTTTAAAAAAATATGTAAACCAAGGCAATAAACAGTAATAAATATACATATAAAGTCGCGCGCAGTAAACCTTCAAAGAATTTTGAACATCCGTATAATTAATAAATTCACTGCTAACATTCAAGGTCTGTGTGATTTATAAATTCAGTGACAGTTTTAAAATAATTTCCATTCGAAAAATACGAGCGACTAAATAAATTAGTGATGCATTATGAATTATGAAAAACAGAATTGAGAGCGAATAAATCTGAAACAAACTACAAATGCATACAGCGAGAATAATTTCACGCTCTATAAAACAAACCGACTTTCCATGATCAAAAGAATGCATATAAAGTGATTATTTTCAAAGACAAATAATATTTCCATGTAAATCATAATGAGTAGGATAAATAAGGGATCATTCTCACATTTTGCTAAAACTAACATCATATTAACATCGTTACAAAATAATACAAGCAAAATTACTATAAAAAGACGACAATATATATTAATTATTCTAGATTAAAGAAATATTAATTATTCTAAAATAATAGAATGCATAATTAGAGAAATTTTTAAAGCAATATTTGTTTTTTTATACTATTAACTTCAATCAATTCTCTTTTTGTGCTATTTATATAATATTAATCTTGCTTTTTCCAATTTGAATTTACTAAAGTTATTTTACTTTTTAAAATTATTTTAATTTACTAAATTATTAATAATTTCTTTATTGTAAGACCATGAGTATTAGGTTAATAAAATTACAAATTTATCGCGTTATCAAACAAGCAAAAGTTACATGCAACTGTTGCATCAATACAATCGGGGGCTTCGAAAGTTATGGAAGCCCGGAAGTTACGAAGCCGTTACTTTCTCATGAACATTCAAGAAGGTCGTGGGCGGCATGGATCAGATACAATGGTTGATATCATTACACATAACATAATCGTGACGTTAATGCTTTATAAAAGATATTCGCACAATGATAATCTCATTCTTAAAAATGTATCTTAAAAATATATCTCCTAGATACATTTTACAGGCTATTTCAAGGTGTTACTTTTGGCAATTACATTTAATTATCTGCGTTACATCAGTATAATTTTCGTGTAATATTTTAATACATTACATGTATATCAAATCATAGTCTAATCTAAAATATCACATAAAATACATATATGATATGGTTCAAAATGTAAGTTTTTTTGAAGAGAAAATAATAGAAATGTTAGTGGAATAAATATATCAGACATTATTTCTTATAAATATTAAAACGTTATATATTATATTTATAAAATCGAATATTAATTTCATTTAATAGGATGCCCGCCAAATACCTGGGGTCTTTACTGTATGGAAGTGTGCAATTGCAATGAAAATAGCATCTGCGATCCTATAAATGGCGCTTGTCAATGTTCTCCAGGACTACAAGGGCCACAGTAAGCAGTTAAAAAATCTTACATGAAAGCTTCTACCAAGAAATGAAGGCAGCAAAATATTTAATAAGTTAAAATCAAAATATAAATTATGCCGAAAATGATTATGATTTCTTTTTCAGATGCCAAGAGCATTGTGCAATCGGTCAATGGGGTCCGGATTGCGCAAACAAATGCACATGTCAAAACCGGGACAATAACTGCGATGCCGTAACCGGAAGATGTACAAAGGATGACGCTTTTTTAGCCGAACAAACGTCACCTGCTTATTTGCGGAGCTCTACTACTAAAACACCCAGAATTAACAACATGGAGTATACAGAAGATGTCTCAGCCCCGCGTGAGACTACTGAGCGCCAGACAGAAGGTGAAATAACGCATTTACCGAAGAAAGTGTTTGTGTGCGCATTGCACAATTGTTTTCTTCATAAATATAGAAATGGCTCTTCAAGTGTTTAAACCTGTAGAAGAAGTGCACAGAAGTGTCAAGAAAAATTTATTAATTAAAATTTATTAAAAAGAGTTTCTAATATTAGAGTCTCTGATTAAAGAACTTTAATATCAATCAAATTATATGTTTTACTCTCCTTACGCGTGTATAATAATATTTACATTTTTTACTTAACACTCTGCCATGATCGATGGTATACGGTACTTTCTATTCTGACATAAACGATAGATTGTCTTTTAATTTAATATAATTTAATAATTAACTAATAATGTAGATTAATGATATTGTAAGATATTATAATAGTTTATTTTACCTGTAGATATGAATGACAAATGGAATGATACAAATTATATTTCGGAAACGACAAGCCCGGCAACAGCTTCGATCGCGATCCCTCCTCAAAAAGCAACAAACGAAACACGACAGAATCTTTCGACCACTGCTCGACCAGTAATTGTATTAGTCTCTGTTCCCGAACGCAGAAGAGACGTCGAGAAAGATAAGCAAAAATTTGCAACGAGGAATGCGTTTCTCAGACACGTAGAAAACGAAAGTATTGATGTGCCAAATATCGATTATGTAAAAACCGTTCATAAAGGTATTATTTTTAGAAATATTTTGGAAATATATATAAATATTTTTACATTTCATATATGCATATCTACTGAAACAAAGTATTTTCATCGCCAGACGACATTCAGACATCTACATCGATTCCACTGGACATCGCTCTAATCGTCGTGGCTGCGATCGTCTCTCTCGGTCTGACCTCGCTCGCGGTGGTTATGGTCCTTCACATGCGTTCCAAACTATTCGAGACCGTTCGACTTGCTATCTACGACGACAAGAAAACCAAAAATCAAGAATGTGTAAGCGTGAGCAGCAAAAGATTGTCCACAGTGGTAAACACTAGCTTGCCTCGTAAGTACCGAGCATTACACTCGCTTGATGCAACATTCTCTTCTTAGTTCTGAATTGTTAGTGAAATCCATATATCCTTGACCCTGATGCAATCTAGCCACGTAACGACCGCGACGATGGTTCTTGACCGTCATAACTAGCGAAGAAGTTATAATCGTGCGATATCATCTAGTCCTTTGTATGATCGCTAATTAGCTTTGTTGAACCAACGCGCATATATACGTGTATATATATATATATATATATATATATATATATATATATATATATATATAAATTTCTATTTTAGCACCTCCGATTCGTGTGAATTCCATATTTGCTACTAATACAGAACCGGAAACGATATTAACTGTTGACGGCATTGAGTCCTTGAATACTTATGCTAATGGTGCTGCTACAATCGGTCTGCGAATTTCCGGTAATCTTCGTGGTAAGTTCCTATTTTTTTAGAAAATTCATCATACTCGCAAAAAACGCAGCAATATCATAATAGTTACAAAAAAAATATCTTCATTAGATTAATAAAAATTTAATAGGTAATAAATAATAAATGTAAATAGTTAATCTATATACAGATAATATTTATATATTAATATAATTATAATATTATGATATAATTGCTGCTTCAAACAGATTAAACTATAAAGCTCTTATTTATTGATATCATATTTTTAAAATATTTAATTTATATTACTGTGAATCATAGATCTGTTACAAGACGGCCATTACGATCGACCATCAGCAACTCTGATACGTTTGCAGACAAACTTCGATCATAATACGGAGCATACGGAGCATGTATACGATGAAATACCTTTACAAACCACTCCGCTATCCAATCGCAAGGATATGTGATAAAGATATTATTCATTAGATTCGTAATCAAATCTATCTATAGTTGATAATGCAATTTCGTCATTTAAAAAAATGAAATTTTAAGATGAAATACGGTCTATTAGGAATCGATGAAAAGTCAATCACTCGATTCTAAAAAAAATGCGCGAAACTGGTTTCCGATCTTATGTACAGCTGTTAAATGCACTTGAAGGCTGAACGTGACCATAATTAAATGGAATAAGCAGAAAAACAAGTTTAAGCTTTACTGTCAATGACTTTCTGAATCAACTATTTCAACGAAATGACGTCAAATCAACAAAAAGAGAGAGAGAGAGAGAGAATGCATTGAATTACGATTGCGCGTGAATGCACAATTAGGTGGAAAGCGCTAAATAATATTCTCGTGTAACAACCGGAAAATATAACTTCCTGACATACTATCATTATCCAGGTAATATTAAACATTTGTATAGTCGATGCGAAGCTATCTGTTTACGAATAAATAGATACGAAAATAAATTGCCTGATAAATGTGACAATTTTATTCAATATTAGTGTAATTTACGTATTAATTGCATTGTATAAATTAATAAATTAATTATTCACTCCACAATTAATATTACGGGCAATACGTTTAGATTAAATATTGTCATATTGCTCACGAAACAAATTATCAAGTATATAATATTCCTCTCTTAAATTTAAGAATCTTTTTACAAATTTTTTATAACATTATTATTCATTTTTAATATTATTATAGATTTTTTTATATAAATTAATAATTACTTTGTAATAATCTCATCTTAAAAATGTAGCATTTTTTGCTACATGTAAAAACATCCTCCGACACTTCATAATCATATGTGCATTGCGTTTCCGAGTTATATCAGTAGATATGATATGTAAGTAAGTGATAATTTATAATCAATGATGTAAATTCTTAATCGTAAAGACTATACTTAATAATTGTTGTTTTGTGTTAAAATGAAACCAAAGAATTATAAAACCAAAGAAAAAATCAAAGAATTATAAAATCCTATATTAAATCAATGCAATGTATATGCATTATAGAAAAATATACGTTATATATGTTAATATATTTCCATAAAAATGAAAAAAAAATCTTTTGATAATTATGTATAATAAATAAAATAAATTATGTACTGAAAATATATATGTTATATAAACTTAATATAATCTTTTAAATTTTTTATTCATTACTATTTTTATGTTATTACTTTAAAATATCGCATTATTTTAACGTTGTATGCTAGGATGCTTTTTTGTAAAAAAATAGGAAAGAATTAATTAATATCGTATATATATATTATTATCGTTGATAATACTTAGAAAAATTTTATTCTCGTTTATTCAAAGAAGAATAATTTTTGTGGAAAGAGAAAATGAGAAGAACTCATTCTTATAAAATAATAATATCATTCCTTTAATTAAGTACAAAAAAATAAATTCTGGAATAAATAGTTGCACACTCATTTCATGGAACTGTTATCTACAGTCAGCATTAGTTTATCATAATTAAATAAACATATGCCGTGTACACTTATCACATTTAACATATTCTTGCGCTGGCTTATTGCCCTGATTCGCTTATATATATTCATTCCCGGATGATATCGGAGGAATTGTATAAACAACGCCGATATGGAAAGCGAAATTCAAAATAAAGTACACATGCAGATTTAAAAAAACAAACATGTTTTGTGATATGATGATAGTTTAGTGTTTATTTTAAAATTACAATTTGATTATTCTTTTGAAAATTCAGAAATTAATTTTTCTCGAAACATTGTATTTATATAAACGTTAAATTCAATATAATCTTACCTTCGGATAACTTAAATAAAGTAAGTAAATATTGTAAATATTTTTTTTCTTAACTATTTACTTTCATTATATGTATTTCTTTATACTTTATCGCAATTATATCATATACCGTATTATAATTTAATATGTGTATAGCGTAAACGCGAAAAGAATTATTTTTCACTTAAAATTTAGAAGAATCTTGCAAAAGTGTAATTTTTATGATTTCCACCCAAAAAATATTCGATGATATTATTAGATTAAAATTTAATTATAATACATTATCCTCTTCTTTCATTTGATGTATAAAGTTATAAGTTGCAACAAATAATTTATTCACGCGATTAAAATCGTTGTCGAATGAGTCAATTATGTCCCAGTTAGTAATAACTCAATCAATAATTAAATAGAGAAAAAATCTAAAGAAGCAGGCACATGCATTTTATTGGCCCCATTAAGACTCTTTGACATATCGATATGTATAACTGATAACTGTTTCCTTGAACAAATGTTGCGCAGTTTAATCAGAAAGATGAAGAATCCTGGCCTCTTTGACATTCTTATCACGATGATGCCCGCTCTCTGACCGAAAATAAGCACCCAGTAGTAAATTTGCGATCGTCCATGCAACATGCAAAGATTATTGATCTGCTTAGTCGCTTTTACGTGTCTGGGTGTCAGCACCTGGGCCATAGATGGTGTAAAGGGTGGACATCGACCGCGTCATCCCATAAGTCATTATGGTAGCACAAATTCTTCGCAAAATAGTCTTTGTTATAAAACGGTTCCGTAAGTAATCAAATTTTCAATTCGAGACTAGCGTAATAAGCCCGACAATAATATTATTTTTTGCATAAATATTTTTTGTACTTTCTCGTTACTACGTTTAATATGCTCGCATTAAGAACAATATAAAATATGTATATATATCTGCTTATTATAGATACAGTCATGTTTTGGCTTTGAACTCTAGTGGGTCGCCTTATAATACCATCCCTCAGCCACCAGAAGGTCAATTTGTAAGTAACTCTCTCCTTTGATCGAAAATTTTCCTGCGTTAATTTTTGATAAATATAATTAATAAAGTTTATAAGATAAACACAAGATCTTAAAATGCAACATTTGTACATTCACTATTAAATTCGAAACAAATTATTCAAATAGCTCCTTTAAGATGATAGTTATAAAAATAGATAAATATCCTGTTTATCAGTACAATGGTGGTTGGATTACTATTTTGGACTGTTGCGACGGCTACGAACGCAATGTGACGAGCGGCTTGTGCGAACCGCGTTGTGATCGCGGCTGTTTCGGTGGTCGTTGTACAGGACCGAATATCTGCAGCTGTCAACCGGGATGGCGTTCCGAAGACGGCGTCTGTATGCCTGTCTGTACGTACCAGTGCCAAGAGAACGCTTATTGCTTCTCTCCGGAGGTTTGCATATGCAAATTAGGCTACGATGAGGTAAACGGTCAGTGTAAACCAATCTGTCCCGACGGATGCAGAAACGGCGAATGTGTGGCGCCGCGAGTTTGTCGATGCAGACCAGGATACGCTCTGAATGAACGTAAGGAGTGCGTAGCCGCATGCGAGGGAGGCTGCACGCATGGCACGTGTAGCGCGCCGGGTGTGTGCACCTGTCAAGAGGGGTAATTATCTTATCCTTTTAAATATCCTACGATCTCCGATGACTACACAATATTTCTAGTATAACTTTGCCTCATAATTATGGAGCTGTACATTATATATTAACTTTGTTCTTAACGGAGAGATATCTATGTATAATTGATAAATCAAAATTAATTGAATATGATATTACGCAGTCAATAGTTGCACACTGAGTAATTTTATGCAGGCATGTAAATAATTTATCTTTCAATTTTTATACGCATATCGACATTTGCGTGAGTAATATTATTTGTATTAGAAGAAGAAAAATACTAGAGAATTTGAGATATACATAATTGTTATAATATAATTATACTATATAGAACACTTCGCACTTGCTAATTTTGATATTTTCAACATATTATTTGACGAAACATTAACATAAATTATTTCACAGATACATTAATCCTTCTGGTGATCGCGAGTCCTGCATTCCTCACTGCTCAGACAACTGCAACGGCGGTGTATGTATAGCCCCGAACACTTGTAGATGCAGACCCGGTTTTACGCACAATCGCACCAGAGGTTGCGTGCCGGATTGTCCGGGTGGTTGCGACGATGGCTGCGATTGTATCGCGCCGAACACTTGTACGTGCAGACCCGGATGCACGCGGGATCATAGCGGTCGATGCGTCCCGACTAGTCCTGGTTCATCGCAGTGCGGATACGGATATAGCGTCGATCCCGATACCGGTAGATGCATCCCCGTATCGACACCCACCATCCCATCGCATTCCGCCGACTGTAGATACGATTGCGGTCCGCACGGCACCTGCATTGGACATAATCGATGCGCCTGCCAACCAGGATTCATACCCGATCCCGATACCGGTAGATGCGTTTCCCTGCCATCCTCCAACGCGACCAGCTCGCAATGCAGATACGGTTGCGGTCCAAACGCACGGTGTGTCGGCTCGAACGTGTGCATCTGCAATCCGGGATTCCATAACGATCCCGATACAGGTAGATGCGTATCTGAAGGGGATGATATGGATGTGAACATCTGTCACCCTCCGTGCTTGAACGGCCGATGTACAGGGCCGAGTCAGTGCACCTGCAATGACGGATATACTCACGATCCTCGTGATGTCACACGCTCAAGATGCATGCCGGTGTGCAAGGGCGGATGCTTGAACGGCGTATGCACCTTGCCGAATCGCTGTATTTGTAATCCCGGTTATCGGAAAGAGAGCGGTGTCAAGGGTCGGGAAAGATGTGTCCCGCAAGAATAAGCGTTGTTTCCGAGATGTACGGAAAAATTGATGACACAAAGCGTCTTAATACTTAGATTAATTTGACAAAGCGAGCATACATTCATTTCTGGATGATATGAGAGGGATTGTATAAACGTCAATATGTAAAATTTGTAATAAATATACATACAGATTCAGAAAACATATATTTTTATACGATAGTTTAATTTTTATCTTAAAATTTATTTTTTAAGAGAAAATTATTTTCTCTCAAACTATTATATGCATATAAACATTAAATTCAGCATGAACCTTCGGATAATCTAATTCAGAAAGTAAGGCGAAAACATATTTTTTAATTATAATAACTTTCACACATTATATATTTTCTCTTACACTTTATCATAATTTAATATGTGTGTATGACATAAATACATAATATAAAGAAAATTATGTTTTAATTTTTATTTAGAATGTAGAAAAATCTCGCAAAGCCTAATTTTTATGATTCATCTAAAATATCTGATGTTATTAAACTAAAATTTAATTGTGAGCTATTATTTTCTTTTTTCACTTTAAACACAAAGTTACAAGCCGCATAATTTATTAATTAAATCTATGTTAAATTAATTCATTATATTCCAGTTTATAGCAATAATTAAATCAATAATTAAGATAAAAGTATAAAAAAACAAATGCTTTATTGCTTTTTAGGGCTCCTTTAATGTTCTTTTATATATCAATATATATAACAACTATTCCCTTGAACAAATATTGCGCAGTTTAATCGAAAAGGTGAAAATTATTGACCTTTAAGGCAGTCTTATCGCGATGATGGTCGCTCTCTGAACGAAAATAAGTATTAACAGTAAATTTGCGATCGTTCATGCAACATGCAGAAATTATTGATTTGCCTAGTTTTTTTTACGTGCATATGTGTCAGCACCTGGACAACAAACGGTATAAAGGATGGACATCGACCGCGTTGTCGTACAAACAAACACTATCATCAACTTCTATGAACTTCTCGTAAAATGCTCTTTGTTACAAAATGATACCGTAAATAATTTTTCGAAACGAGCATAATACATTTCTGACAATAATACATTTCAATTTTCTATTTTCATATTTACTATTTTCTTATTTACTATGTGCGCGTAATAATAATATAGATATCTATTCTTATTATAGATACAGTCATGTTTTGAATTCTAGCGAATCGCCTTACATTGTCATTTCACAACTCTCTGAAGATAGCCAACAGGTGAATATCTGTTTCTTTGGACTCAGAATTTTTCTGTATGTTAATTTTTGTAGTAATAAATATAGTAAATTAAATTTCCAGGAAACATATAAAATGTAATCTTAAAATGTAACATTGTGCGTTATAAAATTCGATATAAATTATTTAAATAGTTTCTATAAAGATTATAAAAATAGATAAATTTTTTATCTCAGCATAATGATAGTTAATTCTGGTTGTTGCAACTATTCTGGATTGTTGCATCAGTTATAACGTGACAAATAATATTTGCATGCCTATCTGCACATATGAGTGCCAAGAAAACGCCTACTGTTTCTTCCCAGAAATATGCACGTCTATTAAGCCGGCACAGCCACTTTAGCACAATCGAATAAAACTTATATATAAATTTAGTGCTCTTTTGTTGCTCTATTCCCGATTTTGTTGCTCCTGTAGTTGAAGCTACGAGGAGGTAGGCGGCGTAGTGTAAACCTGTCTATCCCGATGGATGCAGAAATGGCGAATGCGTGGCGCCGGGTGTTTGTCGATGCAAGGTAGGAATCATCTTGAATAATAACAACGAGTGCGTAGGCGCTTGCAAAGAAGGTTGCTTGTACGGCACATGCAGAGCAGATGTATGTACTTGTCACAAGTAATTATCTTATCCTTTCGAATCTTATCCTATGATTTTCGATGATCACGGAATCTTTCTAGCATCGGTATAATATTCTACACGCTGATTAAACTTTGCCTCATAATTGTAAAATTATATTTTTAATCTTTTGAAGAGCGAGAAGATATATATAGTGGATAAAGAATATTAAATTTATCGGATACAATATTACGCTGCAGAGTAATTATAGATCTTGTAATTTTATATATATGTTTAGCATATATAAATAAGTTATTTTTTAACTTTCATAAATATACACTAACGTTTACGCAATTAATATTATTTATATTCGCGATATAAATAATTACGTGTGTGGTTTTACAAGCATAATAAATTTACAAATAAATATTACGAATATATACCGTCAATATTGTCTGTATTACATATTTTGTAATACTTTTACAAATATTTTGACAAAAGAAGATTAACATTAAGAAAACTGTTACAAGTATCCCAATATTTATAACGACTGTGAGTACTGCATCCCTTATTGTCCAGCTGCCTACAGCAGCGAATGCTTCGCGCTGAATATTTGTCAATGCAGGTCGGTTTTACAATCAGTAAATGCATTTCCCTGGCAGATCCTCTATATGATTCCGGCCTGAACGGACGCGTTGCTCCGAATTTGTGCGAGTGCGATTCGGGATTCAACAACGATCTTTTGACGGATAGATGTATCCGAGATGACGGAAATAATACGGCTATAAGTTTGTGCCAGCATCCATGCTTAAAACGGCTATTGCATAGGATCGGACTAATGCACTTGCAATCAAGGATACATTCACGATACCGATGATCTCACAAGTTGCGTGCCGGAATGCAAAGACGGATGCGCGAACGGCGTCTGAATGTCTGTATTTATAATTTCCGGTGAGGAAAATGGTCTATGTGACTCGCAAGAATAAACGCTATTTCCAAATTGTAAAAAAAATTTAATAACGTAACGTATTGATTAAAATTGCAATGAATATTCGGCTAACTATTCGATATTCTGTTTTATTTGGCAATATTTTTACTATTTGATATTCATTCGAATATTGAATATTTTTAAACGTCTAAATTGAAGTAAATAATAGTAGCATGAATCCATGAAGGAAATAGTAATAGTATGATTTGGTCTAATATTCGATATTCAATTAGGTGCCGAATATACTTTGTTGCAACTCTATAATTTTACTGTTTTCTTCAATTTAGACATTTAAAAATATTCGACAATCGAACAAATAGTGGATTAATATATTAATAATATTGCTGAATAGATAAATTGATAAAGAATTCGGCTCTATGTAATTAATAACACGATACTTAAGAAACGAGCGAATAAGAGCCAAACGCGGATGGTAGTAAATTTCTTAAACATTAATTGTTCGCGAAAAATTTTTAATGTGCACAAGGCATATTGCTGAATAGAATTGTAGGATACCGAAAAATATTGCAGAATACCGAATAGCCGAATATTCGTTGTAACTCTAGTATTGATATATTAGATTAATTTGAAAAATAATGTACAGATAGATTATTATTACATATTTATATGTAATTAAAATTTTTATATTGTAATAATTATTTTGATGGCTGATATTAAATTCTTGAATAACATTGTATAAATTAATCTAGATATAATTTTCTTATTGTGCCACTTTGCATATAACCGATATTGTTGCATCGTAAATGGATCATTGCAGACTGCATCCTTGACTTAGTATGTCATCTTAACTAAGTTTTCTCGAAAAAATGTACATTCCATTTATGCACTGTTAAGCATGCGGAATCGATTCGTTTACATCATAAAACAATTATGCGGTTTTTATAACTTAATGCAATATACATTTAAAAAAAAGTTCAGTAGGTATTCTACAATTATCACATAGTCAGTGTATTATATGTCATAATGTAAGTATATAATTTAACAAATTTTTAAAATTATTATATGGAGAATATTCCATATATAACATAATTTACAAAATATGAATAGACAAAATAATCTTTATCAAAAATTAAAATATATTATTTTTATTCAATGGGAAATCTAAATACTTTTTGAAACATTTTCTCATATATTAAAAATAAGTTAACAATTGCAATCTAAAACACAATACATGTATAAAAGAATTTTCAGTAATTATTTATTATATGAAATATAAAGATTACTTAACTTAAAAAGAGAGATTTATCATACATATATTGAGGATTCATAGTTTAATTTTAATTTGTTACTGCCTGACAACAGTTAACATCCTGTCAGATCCTGATAACGCGCTACATCATAACAGAGAGGAAGAAGCTTCTAGTCTAGTTTGCGACGTGATATAAAACTGACCATGTATTAATCGCACTTTCCTACTAATTATTTCCTCTCGAAAATAAATTTTTTATATCAAGCAATTATGAAATTTTTGTATGCCGTATTTATTCTTACTATTCTACAAAACGAACTGATCACTACAGTTACTCTATTTTATGAAGATTCGTCTGAAGATCTTTATATCTCTGCGTCAGAAGGAAGATGTACTACATTAGTTAGGTAAGATATAGTGGATATATTTTTTTTCTCTTTATATCAAATTTCTCTTTAAATCAAAATATAGGGTGTTAAAGAAAACCCTGAGATACTTTGCATGCGCGTAGCTCTCAAACGTTTTTAGCTAGCAGTTTCTCCTCTTACTGCTTTATTGCCAACGCCCTTGCATCTCTAAAATGTGTGTTTATTAGTGTTTACGCTGAATATTTTTATTTTTATGATGACTGACCTCACAAACGACCAAAAGGTGTGCCTTATCAAATCCTTTTATGAAAATGGCTCTAGTTATGCTGCGGCTATTCGCGCTCTAAGACACACAATATAAATCTGAAAAACTCCCGTGCGACAACGCTTTAACAGGATTAGAATTCGAATTTTTCTGATTGTGCTTTTGTGACGATTTTTAAAAAATCGCTGTTAAGTTTAATTTTCTTTGCAATTTCGCACCATCCAAGCTTGATTGTGTTGTTTTCAGCTTAATAAAAAAGTTTCAACAACATGTATCGTGTTTTTTTTTTATTTTTTTAATGGGGCTTTCTCTAAAGGACCGAATATATTCTAAGATACCAACAAAGCTCCAAACCGCCATAAAAAACGAAATTAAAACCATTGATAGCGAGATGCTTGGCAGGGTATTTACAGCCTTTCAAAGACGATTCGAGTTCTGCTTAAACTCAAATGGAAGTCACATTGAACATATAATTTATTAAAAGTCAATGTCTTAGGATTATTTTGATGTCCTGTAACTTTTTCATATTATTAAGTTTTTTATATACAGGTTTAAAAACTCATGTTATTTTTTAACACCCTGTATATGTAAATAATGCTCATCAGACATATTTAATATGATTAGTACAGTGCATAAACTAGTTAATGTAATTAAAATTGCATATTTTTTATAGTTATCGAACCTCTAAGTTATTGCCATACTCAGAAACATATAAAGAAAAGACGTGGGGTATTTTTTATAAGACTCGAACTCGATGGAATTATAGGACACAGGTAAGATTTATTAAAAAATTGTAATAAAAAATTATAATATAAAAATTAAATTTAAAAAAAAATTTTAATTTTTGATAAAGATTATTATCTTCCGTTAACCAACTGCTCATAATTTTACCCAAATAATTCTATATTTATATTTCCTAAAAAATTTTATGCATCTTTTCATGTAGCATCTTTTCATTTATCTTTTCATAAATATCGCAATGACATGAAATATTGCTAATGAATGTGAAACTCTGTTTCTATTTTTAGTATTATACATCATGGCGCAGACAATATGTGTGTTGCAGTGGATATAAGCTTGGATATAAGACTTTATCTGTTTTGCCTGTATGTCAACCAATTTGTGAACCTGAATGTGGAAACGGCATTTGTATTAAACCAAATGTATGTATATGCAATTATGGATATGAAGAAAAGCATACATTTTCCTATCCTGTTTGTGTCCCTGTATGCACTCACAATTGCATGCATGGCAAATGCACCGCACCTGACGTTTGTACGTGCGATCATGGATACTCATTGAGCATAAATAATTATACTTGTGAACCTGTTTGCGATTTATTATGTCTCACAGGATCGTATTGCTCCGAACCGAATCACTGTGCTTGTCTAGATGGATACACCGATATAATTGTTCAACAAGATCTCAGAATACTTAACGTAGGTAAACAATGTGATTTATTTTGTTTCGTTAAATTTAAATTTTGTTTATTTAACACGATGATCACGATTACTGTAAACGTAAAATCGAAAAAATTGATTATATTCATTGTTATATGCGTCGTGAAAATAAATACTCTCTTAATTAAAAAGAATATTAATATTAAAAGAAATATTAAAAGAAATATTTAAAAAAATATTAATATTAAAAGAAAAAAATATAGACTGAAAAAGAAAGCAATACATACATCCGCATCTCTTTGTTCACAGAAATGCCGACCTATTTGCAAAAACCCATGCATTCACGGTGAATGCACAGCTCCTGATACCTGTACTTGCCATGATGGTTATGAGCTTGATTCAGATAATATATTCGTTTGTAAACCCATATGCGAACATGGTTGTCTTTATGGCACATGTACGGCACCTTACGTGTGCACTTGCGACAAAGGTTATTCCTTAAAAACTCCGAGTACGTGCGAACCAATTTGCAGTGAAGCTTGCATCATGGGTATCTGCGTGGCTCCTGAAAGCTGCAGCTGTTTCGAAGGCTATGGATTACTTGAAAATTCAAAGCATATTTGTGAGCCGGTCTGTGAAAAAGCTTGCATCAATGGGAGATGCACTGCGCCTGGGATATGCACATGCAACGAAGGATTTCAATTGAGCGGCGATGAATCAATGAAACACGCTTGTGAACCTTATTGCGAAATTTCTTGCGAACCGTTTGGCATGTGCGCTGCACCGAATGTTTGCATTTGTTTTGAAGGATATCGTCTAATTAACAGGACTCAAGCCAAGAAAGTTAGTTGTTAGTTTTAGAGAAAAGAAAAAGAAATTTGAAAATAAGATTTCTTATAGTTACTTCATTTTGTGAGAAATGTTGCATATACTTCACGTTCACACAATTTTTTTATATTCACATAGATAATATTTATTTTCAGAGTATATCATATTTTGCTGATAATTCAATGTGCGAGCCGATCTGCGACACAGAATGCATCAATGGATTTTGCAGCGCTCCTGAAACGTGTATCTGTGATATCGGTTATCAACCGTCAGGCGGCATCTTTACCAATATCTGCGAACCTATCTGTAGCCAAAATTGCATAAACGGCGTTTGCAGCGCACCCGAAATTTGTACATGCAACGAAGGCTATCGTCCTGCCAAAAACAATTCTTCGAACATATGCGAACCTTTCTGCGAAACTGACTGCATCAATGGATATTGCAGCGCGCCAAATGAATGCACCTGTAACTTCGGCTACCAGCCTATCGAGAACAATCGTACGAACCTTTGCGAACCGATATGTAATCCAAGCTGCAAGAATAGTATCTGTGTCCAACCTGACGTATGCAATTGCAAACCAGGCTATCGTCAATCGACGCATTCTACGAACGTGTGCGATCCTATCTGTCATCCAGCCTGCGAAACAAATGGAATCTGCGAGGCGCCTGACTTATGCGTTTGCGAGGATAACTATCGCATGATTTATTATAATGAAAAAGATGTTCCGTTTAAATGCGAGCCGATCTGCAGCGTTGACTGCGGAAATGGCACATGTACAGCGCCAGATCGCTGCACGTGCTTCGATGGTTATCGAAATGCGGAAACGGGCTGGTGCGAGCCTTTTTGTTCAACGTGCAACAATGGCACGTGCGTAGCACCTGAAGTTTGCGAATGCGACGATGGATTTATCTTCGAAGATTCGGGAATCAGATCCGAGGGAAATTTAAGTTCGTTTTCTGAGGATGAGCTCGGAAATGCAAGTAGATGCGTGCCACGTTGCGAAAATTGCGATAACGGTGATTGCGTGGCACCGAATGAATGTCAATGTCATGTCGGTTTCGTGAAAATCAAAGATATCTGCGAGCACGCGTGCCAAGGTGGCTGCGGCTCTCACGGCGAATGCATCGATGAACGCAGGGTTTGCGAATGCAATTACGGATGGACCGGTCCGCATTGTGATGAACCAACCTTGTGTATCTCGATTTTGGATGATGAAGATAATCGTACTGAGTCGTAAGTATCTAATATAGCACTTTATAAATTTACACTTTTTTATTAAATTAATATAATAGCAATTGATCTAACAGTAATGAGTATATTTAATCATTTGCATGTAATGAGATATCTAAATAGATATCTCGTTACATACAAATAGTTAAATATACTCGTTGTTATTATGAATAAGTTATTATCGAATATATAAATAAATAGGATAAATACCTTTCCTCTCTCCGCCCGTATAAATATATATCTATAAAACATCTATAATTCATTTATTTTCTTGCAGATTAACAGTCACAGAGGAACAAAATAATACTATCAAGCATGTACTTGTAAATAATCCAGAATGTCCCGAGTGTATTAATAAAATAAACAATGAAACTTTGTGCTTTAAGATGTATACTAATGCCACAGAGGAAAAAACACAAATTGGTTGTTTAATGAATCAAGGTTTGTTATGAATATAAATCTACTTGAAAAGCATTTTTTTTTATTTTTGAGAAAAAAGAGCAAAAAGCATAAAAATTTCAAGATCTTTCCTGGTTACATATACAACGATATATAAATATATCGAAATTAATTCTAATACTTTTTTTTCTTCATATTCATATATCCGTATAACACAGTTCTATCATATAAGTTATTACATATTAATATTAATTTTTTAATAATACTACATATTAATTTATTAATAATAATATACACTACATACTCTTAATAATAATTTATTAATAATAATAATAATAATATATACATATATCTATCTTTCTTTCTTTTGTTATGTCAAATTTAATTCTTTTTACAATATAATATTACGCAATGAATAAACAAAAACTTGTCATTTTTTGCAACAGAATGCCTTGAATTAAGCAGTTACAGAAAGGAAAAAGAAATTATCAAACTAAGTGGAATCGCAGGTGGTTTCGGAATATTACTTCTGATAATAGTAATAACAGCTTATATAGTACTACGAAAACGTCGAAACAGACAAACTGGTTCAGGTATTATTATCAAATTTCATTACATATTCAATAAGATAATTACAACAATAATTTTTGAAATTGTATATGTTTATTTTTTTAAAAAAGTGCTGAGGAAAAATAGAATATAAGTTATAAATATTAATTTTAAAAAAGAAATATATAAATGAATCAAATATGTAAATATTATTGCAACTAAAAAATAAAATAAAATTTCCACTATATATGCTTGAACAAAAAAAAATATTTTTTATATTTTTTAAATTATATTAATGATGAAACTATAATATAGGAACTTGCTTTATTAATAAATTAATATATATATATATATATATATATATATATATATATATAACTTATATTCTTTTCCCGAATGTTCTTGAAAGAAACATGACTATTTAAGGCAATTATATAACAAACTAAATAGTATATTAATATACTCATCAAAATATTTTCCTTAATAGATGATGAGCAAGTAGTTTGCACAGACGGTACATTAACGCAAGGGCTACTTGAACAAAGTATTATTAATTCTTAATATGAAAAATGCTGTGGACAACTTAGTATGAAATTTTTAAAATTTCTGTAATAATGATAAATGTAAAGAAACAATGATTATCGATAATTTAATTAATATTTGTTAATTGAAGTTAAAAATGGATATATTTATTAATATAAGATATTAATGTAAGATTTATTAATGTAAGATTCAATAAACTATAATTAAGAATATAAATTGTGTGACGTATTTCGAATTCTTATGTTGTAATGTTTAATTTCATTGCACGTTAACAATTTTTTTGTCATAAAATTAAAATTTGACAAAATATTAATTAGAAAGTAACGCGATTGCATCTACAAAGAATTTTTCTCTCTTTATTGTTAAAGTTTTCATATATTAATTAATTTTATGTTTTTATACAACTCGATGCTATATTAAACGATCAGTTTTGTAGACATTATTGTTTTCATTGTACAATACTTTATCATTGGAGCATATGATAATTTAATAGAAGTGGACCATGATAGAAGAAAGGCGGATGCTTCAATTCAGGATTTTGATTACTGAGATTTTTGATAAAAAATAATTCATAGGTTGTTCACTACTATTTGCTTTAAAATAATCGTGTTTATGGCAGAAAATATAAAATGTTTGTATATGTTTCGGATTTTAAACTTTCTTTAGATGATCTGAAATTAATACTAGACATACTACATGTCCAGTTTTTGAAATTCTCACATATTTATTTGCTGCGGAATTTTACACAATATTTTTTTCCATACTTTTTTCGATGTTTTTTTCCTTTTTTCCTTTGTGAAGAAAAAAGAAATGAAATATGTATACATGACCATCTTTTTATGTGTAAAAAACATTACATACAAAAATTTATTTTTGACTCATTTAGTAAAAAGTGTTTTTTGAAAATAAATCTTACTTTACTCTATATTATTTCGACATAAATGATATTAATATTGAAATGAACTTTATACTACAAATACACATACACATTTTAGTAAACTCTTTGATAACACAGCACATCTTATCTCATTAAAACCATACAACCCATATAAAGGCAGGAGATAAAAGATATAATATATGGAAAGAAAACGTTACAATAGTCAGTTCAAGTTTCACGGAATAAGTGTCAATACAGCAAGTATTCATAATAACAACGCTATGGGATTATTTAAAAGTTTGATCACTTTATTGATTGCCAGGATGTTATTTTTACAAATAAGCAACTTGTACACAAATGGTGAAATTTCCGTAATGTCTGTATCAGATTATAATAAGCCATCTGCGCACCATATACCACTTGAAGATTCACTGTGTGTTAAAGTAATCAGGTATTTTTATATTTTTATATTTTTTACAATCTTTTTTTCCCTTTATGTCGAAATTATATTTTAATTATATCTATTAAGTATTTATTAATTCTTAATTATTAATTCTTAATTATTAATTCTTTATTAATTAATTGTTTTTGCAGCCATGAGTTCCCCCTATATGCAAATCATATAGAAGCAAATAACCTTCCACTAAATTCACTAAACGAATTTATCGAACAATTGAGAACAAGGACTAATAAGAGAGTAATAAAATCTAATTAATAATACATAATAAGAAATATGAAATAACACAAAATTAAGAAATAAAAAATTAATTAATTAAAAAATTAATTTCGAAAAAATTAAAAAACAGTAAAAGAAATTATTTATATATATATATATATATATATATATATATATATATATCAAATGCATTTTTTGTTGTTATTACTTTGCTTCGCAATCATAAATTTTCGTTCTCAAAATTAAAAATTCTCGAAATTAATTAAAACAAGATTTTATCTATTTCGTAGATATTGAATTAATAAAAAATGTTCAAAAACTAGATATTGAATTGTTTGTACGTTACATCAAATTTATGTGATCTGATCAAATATTGTGCTTTATAGCAAACTTAATAAAAAAAACTTAATAAAACGCATCAGTAAACAAGTGTTTCTAAATAATGTAAAATTAGTATTACATTCTCTGTAAATAGATAATAAAAAGATGCAAAATTTTATTTCTTGTTTTCTTGTTTCTTATATAAATGCTATTCAACGTCTCTTTCTTTCTTTTCTTCTTACTTGCTTATACTATAAGTCTTTAATTCTATTTTATCTCTCTTTTCTCTTTTTTTTCTTATTTATTTATACTATATGTCTCTAATTTTAATTTGTTTTACAAATTCATAAGATACTAACGACACAAGCTGCATGCTGCGAAGGCTATGTTCAAATCATTTCATTCTGTGAACCGTTTTGTCGATCTTGTAAGAAGGGATACTGCACTGGACCGAACGTTTGCACATGTCACGCAGGATATCGAGCTTCGAATGACACGAACGACGAAGAGATGTGCGTGCCCGTGTGCACGAATGGTTGCATCAACGGCACGTGCATCGAACCTGATATATGTAGCTGCAACAAGGATTACTGGTTGGATTCAGACGGATTCACTTGTCGTCCCGTCTGTGACGAGGAATGCGAAAGTAACAACGGATATTGCAACGAACCGCATGTCTGCTCGTGTCTTCGTGGTTACAAGAAAACTGGAAACAACTTCACTTCGTCCATGTGCGAGCCTGTTTGCGATCGCGAATGCATAAACGGTTATTGCAGGGCACCTAATGTCTGCAAATGCCTGGATGATTACGAGCACGAGGACAACCCTTTCACCTGCTCGCCTAAGTGCAACAAAACCTGCGTTTTTGGCACGTGCGTAGCGCCACAGACTTGCCAGTGTGACTACGGTTACAGATACCGTGACGAAAGTACGAAATACATATGCGAACCGATCTGTGAGATGGATTGTAGCAACGGCACGTGTGTCACGCCTGGAGTATGCGTCTGTGACGAGGGTTTTGTTTATGACAATCAGATGGATCCAGTTTGCAAGCCGCATTGCACAGTACCTTGTGGACCACATGGGAAATGTACGTCGCCCAATACATGCACTTGCTCCGAGGGATATCGCTACAGTAATGCAAGCTTCCCCTTGAAAAACGAAAGCTTATGCGAGCCGATTTGCGAAAGAGGCTGTCAGAATGGCGATTGCGTCGGACCGAATTATTGCATTTGTCACAATCATTTTGTGCCAAATTTCGGGTCTAGCTTTGAGGTGGAATGCATTCCCAAGTGTTCTCGTAATTGCAGTGGCCACAGTGCGTGTATTATTGAAGACAACGAGCACAGATGTAAATGTCACTATGGTTGGACAGGATGGGATTGCGATCAACCGACTTTATGCATTACAACAATGGATTTTAATAGCAGCGATATCAATAGGTGAACACTGACCTACCGATTTTCCGCCTTTGATTGCGCGTGTAAATAGCATTAAATAATCAGTAATAAATAATAAATTGTTTAATGAATGACATAATGTGATTGCAGAATTACAATCCGTAACGATACAAATAGTACAATCATACAAGTCTACGAAAACGCGCCATATTGTCAATGCAATAATTTCCTTAACAAAGAATCACTCTGCTACATGATACATTCTGATAAAGGCAATACGACTCCAATCATCAGCTGTTTATTAAGTACAGGTATTTGAGAAGGAGAGAAATTACTTTTTATTTATAAGAACAAAAATTTTAATATATTTTATTTTTTAATGTGTAATTATTTTTATACCTTAAAAACATATTAATTATTTATATCTCATAAATTATAGAAAAAATTATATCTTTCATTATATCTTAATTATATCTTCTTTTTTAAACTCTTCTCTATTCTAAATGGTTATCTTCATCAATATAAAAGATGTAATTTCTTGTTTAACATAAAAAAATGTTAAACAAGAATTTAATATTTAATATAAAAATAGTTTTTATTTTTTTTATATAAAGCAGAAATGACTTTTGCTTTATATAATATAAATCGTTTCTATATTATTAATATTAATAAAAAAAAAGAAAAATGAAGATAAAGAATTGGGAGAGAATATTTACTTTATTTATTTTATTAATTTTTTTATGTAATTATTAAAGTAAATATTATTTTCAAATATCCGAATTTTTTACTTTTTTTATAAACCGTTTAAAAACAGAATAATACTTTTAATTAATTTATAAATATAAGAATTTATAAAAAAACTATAACATTAACATTAAAAACTATAACTATAACATTAACACAAAAAATTGGCTATGCAAATGCTTTTTACAAATTAATCAAAATAATAATAAATTAATATTGAGAAAATAGCGAATTTGCATTTTATTTATTAAAATAGTATTTGACAGTTTGTATATGTTTCATTTTTAATTTATTTTTATTTTTCAGATTTACCTTGTTATCTCACCTCGGTACCTCACAGCGCTTCGATTGGCGCCGCCAAAGAGTGGCCTCTCGTGGTTATTGCCATATTAATTGCGACAATTTTAATAACGGTAGCATATTTAATGTATCGCAGATACGAAAAGAAGAAATTGATTATAGGTATATATTTCAAAATATATAAATAGGATTACAATATATTTTTAGTCAGTTTCATCAAATAATTTAATCAAAAGATAATTGGGATATATTATTTCCGACAGCACGTATGAGATAAGTTCAGGCAATCATGCTGGTCATTTCATGTGAATGATGAGAGAAATACATAGTTTTTTCAATATTAAATCATTTAATAATATTTAATCATGTTTTTATGATAATTATGATAAATGTTAAAGTAGAAAGCTTTCATATTCACAATTAGTATTATTTATTCCATTGCTTAACAATAAGAATTATTATAAGAGATTTGTTTCATTGCAGGTATGCCGACAAATTTCTTAGTACGAAAATCTGTCGCCACCGAATCTTTATTAAATGAAATGTGATCAATCTTTGAAAGAAATAACATCGAAAATCATTGAAGAATTATAATAGAATCGTAATAAAGTAGTAATAAATATAGTAGTTATAATAATAATAATTCTTTTTTAGAAATCATATTTTATTATTAATAATTATTCTAAAAAATTCTAAAAAATATTCTAAAAAAAAGTTAAATAACGTAACATATTATTTGAGCAATTGCTTTTAATATAATAATAATATATATTTTAGTAATATTTTAATAATATTATATATAAGAGGGAAGAGAGTGATGGAATTAATTATTTCTTTAGATAAATATATCAAAATATTTTATATGTATAAGAATTATATAAAAAATAATAATTAAAATAAAGTTTATTTAGATATTTTCAGAGTGCAATTCACGCGATATATATCTCGTTAATATTGTCAATAAGAGAGAGACCCATGAATAGATGTAAATAGGCTATTTAAATACAAGATATGACCTAATTGAAGTTACTGAACAACATTCAACTATAATGAAATATTGTTGTTGCTTCGAAACAGTTTTTGACATGTACGATCAAAATATATCGGTCACCTCATTTAAACTATAATTACTGCCTCAGTTGCACCCTTACAATCGTGTCTACAGATGTCTGCCGACGATAAAACAGTGAAACGTCATTCAGCGATAAAACCTAGCTCCAACTTGAAGAGAAAGAGAGAGAGGCCTCCTATTGCCCCTTATTTTCACCCGGGTAAATCGATTATATTGCCGCAAATTAACGTCCGATATGCTGTTTCGTATCGTCAAATTCGTCTCGAAAAAATAAATCTTCTCGATATCTGTCGATTTATGAAAATCGTGACGAAGAGTCTCTACGGGAGAGAGAAGAAGAGAAAGCAAAAGCGAGGAACCACTAATGTCAAACCAATAAATCTAATAATACATGTATGCGTCATCTCCGCTCTCCGGAGAGGCAGACTCACGACGACTAACTCTGTCCTCTCGATCGACGTAGTACGACGAGGGCGAAACGAGACGACGCGAGGCGCCGCGACGCTCGTTGGCCACGTCGAAGTAGCGGCCGCGCGCAGCTGCAGCTGTGTCCTCGTTCTCCCTGCGAGGACTACGGCGTTCAGTGAACGAGACGGTGCGGTTTCGAACGGGACCGAATTATACATCCTCGCAGAGAGTGCTCGGTATCGCGAATGCGTGGAAGTTAAACCTCAAGAGGGTGCGGCGGACAGTTCCGTGTTACGTTTTATCTAACGCGACGCAGTAGATACGGACAGACGTGTACGAACGTTCGGCGAACGTGGTGTAAGACGCTTCTCTGGGGCATCGAAGGCGAGAGGGTGCGCCAGGGGGGTGATAGGAAGGGAGGGAGGGAGGGGAGAGGGGAAGGCGACGGGAAAGGATGTCGATGCGCCGTCGGTGGTCGGTTTCGGGGGTTGACTCGCGCCGCGGGGGCGATGAGCGCATTTCCCTCCGCCCTGAGATTGACCTGCTGCTGCTGCTGCTGCTGGCTTCTGCTGATCTGTCTTGTCGTCTTCCTGATACCTGCACCCTGTACCAGCGACACGCCACGACAAGTTGTACGTCGGACACGAGAACGACCAGGAGGTGATGATGATGCGTTCGTGCACTCCAACTATCACGACGATACCGACGTCGTCTACGACGATGAGGAGATTGGTGACAATGGCGAAAATTGGTTCGATAAAAATATTACCGCCGGTGAGTATTATTGACTTGTTTAATACGACGATGGCAATGCTCCAAAGAATCATTGTATATTCGGAGGTGACTGATAAGTCGTGATTACATTTAACAAAATTCATTAATGATTAGAAAATGTTTAAATCACTAAAGATTATCTCAAGTATATTTCCATTAAAAAGTTAATCAATATTTCTTTGTCGATTATTGAAAGATGTTCGAAAATTTTAATTTTTAAAGTGATAAAGTTATCAATATTAATATAATTATTGAGATATTCTGAGAAAGCAAGATTTAAAAGTTAAGAATTTTGTTCAGATAGTTTGCTAGAATGCTAATATAATACATTAACTTAACAATATCGGTGAAGATGAAATTATTTAAAGTTTTTAAGGGATATTATTATTGAATAAATTTATTGTTTTTCTCAAAATTTAAGAAGAAAATCGCGCAGTTCAATGATTCATCAGTAAAAAAAATTAAATTAGAAATTAGAAGATAGATTAGAAATTAGAAAATTAAAGATTGTGTTACTAATATTCTTGTAATCCCTATTGCAAAATATTCGTGAAAGTAATGAAAAAATGAAATAATCCGGATATTTTAATAATATTGATTATTTCATAATACACTATAATATTCAAGATAAAAATAAAAAATAAAAAATAAAATATTTATGAGAGAGAGAGAGAGAGAGAATACAATGTCTAATTTTAATGCATAGATTTCAGTTCGCATTGATAACTTTTCAGTAATATTATTTTGTCTCCAGCAATTGAAGGCAATATTATAATATTACATTATTTTATTTAAAATAAAAAATTTTTTAGATATAAAATTTAGATATAAAATGTTTAATTTCTCTTAGATATATCTTTAAACAAAATCTATTTATAGCATATTGTTTCAAAATAGCATTATTGCTATAAAATAAAGTCAAACTATGTTTTTGTGATAAAAATTGAATGATATAAAAAATTAAATTGTGTAATTGTAATTGCAATGAAGATTGACATCGTATTTTTTATATTTTAAATTAAAATGTCCAGAATTAATAAAAAAGTTATGAATCTCTAATAAATTTTGATTTGCTTTGTATGTTATTTAAAATTTTTCATATACGAATATAAGTTATTTCTCTCTCTCTCTCTCTCTCTCTCTCTCTCTCTCTCTCTCTCTCTCTCTCTCTCTCTCTCTTCAGTTATTAAATATAAAATCTTAAAAATAAATATAAAATGTAAAGACTTTATTAAGTCTTTTTACAAATATTAGAATAAACAAATATTAAAATAAGCAAAAATGTATATTTTATTGAAAGTAAATTGTAAGTTAAATGTGTTTGAAAAAATATTTTGCAATACTACAATAAAATTATTTACTTTTTTTAAAAGAATAAAATGATAATAAAACAAGAGAAAAATCTAACCAAAGAAGATATCGTTGAAACAAGTACAAATAATATAATAGAACTTATATAAAGCATCTATTGTTATACGAAATTTTATTCAATAATTAATATAATTTGCAATCGAAATATGTACATGACAATGCTCTATTTTCACGTAAGACAAAAGCGATCGAAGGTAATGTATCTCAAGGTTCTTCTTGCTTGCGCTTGCTCCACAAATGTGCAAACACTCTCGAGAATGTTCATTAAAGTATATATATATGTAGCTTTGTCTTCGAAGTATTCTTGAATATGATTGACATTTCATGATTAGTTCAATATTCAGGTATTATATACTTTTATGGGAATATGTACATTATCTTTTTAATTAATTTAAATAAAATGTGTTTTTTATAAATATAATTTTTTAGACTTTTAAACAAAGTGATAACATAATTAAATTGTTCAAAAAATCTGTTGTCTGAAATGTAAATGTAACTACTTAAATTAATTATTTCTAATTATAGAACATTTTTTATTTAATTTAAAAAAATTATGTTAGTTATTATTTAATTTTAATGCTTCACTAAAGCGATGTAAAGTCGCTTTATTTAAATAAATATTACATATTGCATATATTTTTATTTGCTTTATTAAAGATTTTTAATTTTCTCGAGTAGTAAAACACATTTTATTTTATTGTTCTTATGTATATTTACTTTTCTTGATTTTATATGTATAATATTTTTGATATTATCAGACTAGTTCTAGAAGAGATTGAAAATATTTTTAATAGGTTTAGTGTAGCGCGCAACCGAGGAGAAAACGCGGTTTTCTTGATTTTCGCGCCAAACATACCACTAGTATTGATTTTAATGGATGCTGTCAAGCTTTGTCCTCTTCAGATCTGCATATGTGACTTAAACTGTATATTATGTCTATTTTGTTTCAAAAGTGGAGAATAAAATTTAATAAGAAAAAGATAAAACGCGCATTATTGATTGTATATTTTTGCTCTTATTAGAAAGACACTCAAACGGAACGGATTAACTAATAAATTTAGAGTTGTTTAGTTATAATATGAAAATTAATACAATAATAAAAAAAGAATAAGAAAAGTTTCAAGTTTATTGGTGCCTCAAATTCATTAATTGTCAAATTAAGAAATATAAAATAATAGTATTATACTATCATAATAATAAAAGTACACTATTATGCGATATTAATAATTTAGCGAGAGAGAGCAAAATATATTTATTCAATATTAAAAGAAAATATCTCTTTGCATATTTAATATATTTTTTAACTTTTAATGATTTGTATTTAATTAAAATAATTAGAGACTTTAATAATTCGAATATATTTTTTTTAACTATACTTTTTTAATTATACTTTATAAAACTGCATGGCATTAAAAACTTGCAGTGAACTCTCTATAAATCATGCTAATCTAAATTCTCCCTCGATGAAAATATGATAGAGTACACGCGAAGTAACCATAATGCGTACGTGCAATGAACTTTAAGTATGAAATTAAATACAGCCTGATAAAAAAAGTCCTGTCAAAAGACTACACACTTTTCTAATCGCAGAACATAAAACCGTATATACTCATCATAAATCGACATAAACTATGTCGCATGGACACTATTATTCACAAAACAATGAGTTCTGTAATATTGAAATCTCTGCATTTGCATAAGCATCTATGACGCCGTTAAATGACGCAAAACGTTTATCACTTACGACTATCGTTGTCATTAAGTAAACGATTTGCCCGAATAACATGAACAGTCCAAAAAGAAATAAATCGTAAGCAACTGATAAATAAAGATATTTATTTAAAATAGAAATGTCATTAAAATAATAAAATAAAAAGCGAAGAATAATATATAGCGTAGAATAATATATTAATAAATTAAAGATAATGAATTTTAAAGGATACGAGAAAGTCTTGTGATATTTTATTAGTTTAAACATATAAAAAAAT